GTTTTGCCCGATTTTTACATTTGTCGCACACCTCTCAAATTTGTATGGGCCTCACTGCACAGAAATTATTAGGTTGGTGCAAAAATAATGACGTAATAATGTCGTTTTTGACCTATTTTTAACGTCAAAAACGACATTATTACGTCATTATTTTTGCACCAACCTAATAAAACATACATCTGAATCAGTTTTCCTAGTTTTATAAGAAGCGGTAGTGTTTTACAAGAAAAATGTTCAGTGATGGCCCTTCTTTTATAGGTGAGGTTTAGAGCTTTTTGAATGAATCCTCGTTGATGAAACTTACCTCGGGGACCCAAAAGAACCAGAGTCGAGTATATGTTTTGCAATGGAGTGTGGAGACGACGAATTCTGAAGGTGAATTGGGCAGTACTTCGTGTGGACGGAAATGGTGTGTTGCTTGTATCCATTTTTATTGGTTGCTTCTGGGCGATCATCAACTGAGCGATGGCTGGTTAGGTGTATAAAAACACGGTACGCTCATTCAAAGGAAAAACTTTGTTTTTGGCGAGAGGAATTGTATATAGTTATTTTCTTTTGTACTTCTCACCAATTCTTACACATGAGTAAATGCAGAATATTTGAATATAGCGAGGAGATCAACTATATAATTAACGAAAGCAACCTGTAAGCAGAGATAAAATTTTTAAAAAAAGACAAACCTACGCAAGCCTGTGTACAAACCTTGGACAAATGCACATAATCCGTGAAGCGATTGATGACAGTTTTGTTGGAAGAGCGACTGAGACACGTTAAAATCTGATTACAGGTTACAGCATAGTATATTGCTTCACAAAGTCTCCAGTTACGACATCTCTCGAAAAGTCTACGCAATCGTCTACTCCTTTCTCTTAAGTAGGTCCTTGGGGAATGATGTGCCAGTCGGACGCAAACGTTGTCCCTGTTTGGTATCAGTAACTCTTATATTTACCGCTACGATCTATCATGCTACTTTCGCGGAAGGAATGCTTCTTTTATACCACGTGCTTTATGTTAAAGAAGTCCGTTCCATTACGATAGATATTTCCAAGTACTAACTTTCTGTCTTTAAACGCTTCAGGCTTAACCTCTTCATGTCAATGAACAGTCTTTTTTTCTGATTATGTTCATAATGTTTACTTCCAATCATCTATTCATTAATCAGAATATTCAAATCATTTGTCATTACACTGTTGACTGTGACTCTTTGCATGCAGTGGTTCTTGGGGACTGCCTTCATTGAAATTTAGTTAAATACGAAATGCGTTTTTGGTAGTCACACTTGTTACAAAGAGAAACGATAATCTTTCTTAAGGAATTGAAGGCGTAATATCGTCTGAAAGAATTCTTATGCAAGTGAATAACACTATCAGAGACAAGAGAAAATGTCGAGTTAATGTAATGAAAAAAAAAGTTCAGTTAGTGGATTTCTCAATCCGTGTAAACCAACTTATTCAAAAGTAAGGGAAATTCTGGATAAATATCAACCAGTACCGGAAGATTTTTAACATACTTGACTTCAGAATTTTCTCTTTTATGATCTCTTCATAATATTTGCCCCAATTAAATTCATATATTCTACAGAGCTCCAAATAATGGTAGCAACTTTATCATGCTTCAAATATCTATACTCATTCTTAGCTATTCACTTGCATTCTAATAAAATACATAGAGAGTTTCGTTTGTCCCCACACGTTCTAAATACGATGGAATGTTGACCTCTCTGATATTTAACTTTTTCCCAGTTTGTCCTCAAATACCCAAAGGCTATTAAGTGTTCCTCTGTTAATGACGGACCCCCAAGTAATCTCTCCTTGAACATACTCTCTTTGTATTATTCATTAACGATTTTCCTGATATCATCAATTCTCTCTTTATCTCCACTGTTTACACAAGTTTTTACTTCTGTCCTAATGGTAAAGCTGATAGTTTCGATAAGATTTACAGCTGATTTCTGAAATTACACTCTTAACTGGAACAAGAAGTGTCTTGTTAATGGTATCGCCTTAAAAAAGAAGCCGTTCTATAATCTTATAAGGTGACCTATATTGCCTTTCATTAGCATGGCTGATGCTAGCATCCAGGATATTAATTCATTGACGTTTCTCGGTTTAAAATTATCCACGGATCTTTATATACTGTTACACCTATATGACAGTTGGACCATTGTGTCGTCCTTGAGAATGTTTGTCGACAGCCTCTATCTTGTAAATGTATTAGTCTTCCATTCGTCCGTGCATGTAATATTGATGCCACACCTGTTCTAGACCTTCTGGTATATATCTAAAAACTTGACAGAATCCAAAGAATGTGCAACATCATCGTTCCTGACAATGCGTTTTGACTTGTGCCACTCTGCCACTGCCGTAATTTTCCTGTGGATTTTCTATGAAGAGTTTCATGTTTTGATTAGTTTTCCTGTTTGATATCTCGACTTCCGGCATTTAGGTCCAGTACAAGATAACTGGACATGTGTGAATTTTCTCGATATAAATATAGATGATAATTCGTATTTCTTTTTTTTTTTTCATGTGGTGACTTAAGATCATATAACCAATGAATACATTCAATTGCTTCCGATGCAATATACACAAATTAGGTTAATTCTGCTTTTCGTTTGGAAACAGACGAATGATCTTTGTTTGACTATTTAGACAAATATCACCACACGTCAGAATATTTCAAAATAAACTTCTGAAGAAATGAGGACTTTCAAAAAAGCGCTCAGAGAATCAAGTCACGGACGTGTGGAGATATGGCCTACCACGTCCTGTAGGAACATGGCACATAAAAGAATCGTTCATGCTTGTTTGTATTCTTGTGACCTTATATAAATATATTATTGTTGATATCGCAGACATTATTTTCTTTGTTTGTTGTATTTGTGTCAGTTATTTTTTTATGTGCTAACATATGAAGTTCTTTCTCTGAGCATGCGCACCACCAATAATATCGAAATTATTAAACATTATGGCGCATAAGCATCATTTTTCGGATTTGAATTTTGCTTAAGAAACGGGTCATCGCATAAACTTATTTTCCCAATATTTTTTTCTATATGTACTCAATTTTCCCTTTACATTTATTTGGCATTTGTTTAATCATGTACATAGATTATCACTACTATTTAAAATATTTCCGCGTAGGTATTTTAAATAATTACCACTGAAATTCGTATAACTAAAATGGTACTGTGCCAAACCTGCACGTATATGAAAATATTTATACAGCTTTCGTTATTTACAACTCCGAAAATTAACTCAGGTTTACGTTTTTATCAATCTAAAACAGTGCCTACAGAATGACACATCATGATACAATTTCAACACCTTCACTATGAATAGTGTGAAAACGTTATCTCAACTTTCATATTATTCTACACTCTTGATTTTAAATTTATTTCCACCCTATCATTTCATTTATACACGATCATCAAACACTGATGTGTTAGTATAAAAACAAATCAAATGTAACTATATCGACAGCGGATGTTGATTTTGTGATAATATTACGCTTTCTTATACGTCAAACTTGCCACTTTAAATTTCGGATCGCTGGTTTTCTCCTTAGAAACGATTCATGACGTCGGTGCTCGATCGATCCACCTTATTAAAGTAATTCCTTCTACAATAGCGGCTACTAGAAATTATTTGGTAAAATTTATTTCAAGATATCACATTAACAGAGAAATATAATGTGGATCTGATACAATTGAATTATTTAATTCTTGACTATTTTTGTGAAGTAAATTGATGAATATTTCCAGGATAAAGAAATGTGCTGCATGTTGTAAGACAGAAATAATAAGGGAGTGGCATATATTTATGTCAAGTAATTTTAAGTGAAATATAAATTTGTTATATGCAGATATCTCCACCATATACGATGTAAATCTATGATGCATATAGCTTTCATCTTTCTGCAGAACTCTCTCGTCAAAGCTTCACGAAGGTGGTTTAAAATCTATACACATTTCCTGTTGGCAATTAAGACATTACTCATATATTTTCTTCGCGTTAACTATTTATTTTTATAGTAGTGTTCAACCTGGGGCCACTCGAGGCAGACTATTACAAAGTAATTGTTATAACTTATACGGATATGTAAGGAAGATAATTGTTATTCGTAATCTTGAACAGGTTAAGATTGTTGCGATCGAGGATCAGCCTCTTGGGAGTCGGTTCGCATTATCTTTAGCGATTGATCGGATGTACGAACTCCACAAGGCTTCTCTGAGGAAACATCCGTTCATCTGGCCCAAATAGATGATCTGTTGCCTTGAATTCTGGGGAGACAGTACATGTATATTCGGAGGATGACGCCCGTATTTTTTGCTGGATTATTTGCTCCTTTATCAAGGGTGCTGGAGTTAAACGTTTTGTGGGATTTGCAGTTATTTGCCTGATAGCCATGGATCAGAACCAATGAATAACTTCAAACGAGGCTATACTATAAAAGGATGTATAATATTAGAACTTCTGTATTGTCAATTTGTGAATTGGTTCTGAAATGTCCAATAGTTTTCGCAGGGGCATCTCGATGCCATACTAACTGATATTGTTACAGCAATATTTCCAGATAATTCAAAGTTATTCACGAAAACATCTCATGTGATTGTATTGAAATAAATATTATCAGTTTCTAGTTCTTTAAACACTAAGTATTAGGTAATAATAATATCTTACATTTGCCTTACAATCTACGAATTCTATAATGTTCTTATTCTGAATACTAAGATGATCATTGAATGCTGGGTAACATCTGTAATTACGGAACGCCAAATAAGATATAAGATACCCGTTGAAGGGCGGTCAATAAAAATATCATGGTTTTTGAAATGAAACTATCGAACGGCAAAAATATAAATATTTAAAATATTTCACAAGTAAATCTTAATCTCTCAAAGCGTTTTTAAATAGGATGGAACGCTGTATATATATATATATATATATATATATATATATATATATGTATAAGTTATAACTATACAGTGTTCTATCTATTTAAAAAGGCTGGCTATATAAACATAAACACATAGACACACAGATAGATAGATAGATAGATAGATAGATAGATAGATAGATAGATAGATAGATAGATAATGAACAGACTAAGATAGATAGATAGATAGATAGATAGATAGATAGATAGATAGATAATGAACAGACTAAGATAGATAGATAGATAGATAGATAGATAGATAGATAGATAGATAGATAGATAGATAGATAGATAGCAATAAGGATAGGAGTACATACAGATAGACACAGGAACACGCACAAAACACACAGATAGATAGATAGATAGATAGATAGATAGATAGATAGATAGATAGATAGATAGATAGATAGCAATAAGGATAGGAGTACATAGAGGTAGACACAGGAACAGGCACAAAACACACAGATAGATAGATAGATAGATAGATAGATAGATAGATAGATAGATAGATAGATAATGAACAGACTAAGATAGATAGATAGATAGATAGATAGATAGATAGATAATGAACAGACTAAGATAGATAGATAGATAGATAGATAGATAGATAGATAGATAGATAGATAGATAGATAGATAGATAGATAGATAATGAACAGACTAAGATAGATAGATAGATAGATAGATAGATAGATAGATAGATAGATAGATAGCAATAAGGATGGGAGTACATAGAGATAGACACAGGAACACGCACAAAACACACAGATAGATAGATAGATAGATAGATAGATAGATAGATAGATAGATAGATAGATAGATAGCAATAAGGATAGGAGTACATAGAGATAGACACAGGAACACAACAAAACACACAGATAGATAGATAGATAGATAGATAGATAGATAGATAGATAGCAATAAGGATGGGAGTACATAGAGATAGACACAGGAACACGCACAAAACACACAGATAGATAGATAGATAGATAGATAGATAGATAGATAGATAGATAGATAGATAGCAATAAGGATAGGAGTACATAGAGATAGACACAGGAACACGCACAAAACACACAGATAGATAGATAGATAGATAGATAGATAGATAGATAGATAGATAATAAGGATAGGAGTACATAGAGATAGACACAGGAACACGCACAAAACACACAGATAGATAGATAGATAGATAGATAGATAGATAGATAAACATACATACGGACAGATAGATAGATAGATAGATAGATAGATAGATAGATAGATAGATAGATAGATAGATAGATAGATAGATAGATAGATAGCAATAAGGATAGGAGTACATAGAGATAGACACAGGAACACGCACAAAACACACAGATAGATAGATAGATAGATAGATAGATAGATAGATAGATAGATAGATAGCAATAAGGATAGGAGTACATAGAGATAGACACAGGAACACGCACAAAACACACAGATAGATAGATAGATAGATAGATAGATAGATAGATAGATAGATAGATAGATAGATAAACATACATACGGACAGATAGATAGATAGATAGATAGATAGATAGATAGATAGATAGATAGATAGATAGATAGATAGATAGAATAAGGATAGATAGGATAGATACATAGA